CCCATCTCTGGAGTTAGTACTGATCTGGTGGAGGTGCAGATGTCCAACCCTGCACTCCCTCTGGTATGTCTGATGAGGGATCTAATGGACAATGTGTCCTGGGCACTACCCTGATGGGGTTGCTGGTTTCCTCCAGTGCTACAAATATTTGTGGTCTTGGGCCCCGGAGCATTGGGCCCTCCTGTCCATTTTTTGGCAATGGAGCCCATGCCTTTCTCCACAATATCGTGGATAAACACCTGGTCCTTGTTCATTTTTTTGATAATGGAGTACCCTCTATGGTGGTTTGAGAATGGCATTCATTATCCCAATGTCTCCCTCTATGGCATCGTGGGCAAATACCCGGTATTCTACTCCTTTGATACCTAGTTTTGTTAAACCCTCCTCCTATGGGGCAATTCCTTTTAAAATGTCCTCTTCACAATTGTAGCATGTTCTTGGCCTGGCATCTAAAGCCTGTTTTACTGCAGCTGCCACGACTTGCCCTTGTTCATTAATGTATCTGGCATCTAAAGCCTGTTTTACTGCAGCTGCCATGACTTGTTCTTGTTCATTAATGTCCCTAAATAATTTAATATATGTGTTTAAATCTTCATGTTTCCATGGTCTAATGACTTCTCTGCACCAACGATTCTCTTGCTCATAAGCCAGTTGTTTTATTAATGGCATTGCTTGTTCTGTATTCCCAAAATTTCTGGTAGCTCTTTGAATAAGCCTATCTACAAATTCAGCATAAGATTCATTAGCTCCTTGTATTACTTTAGATAATTGACCCTGTAAACCTCCATGTCCTTGTAAATTCTTCCATGCCCTAACCGCCTCTTCAGCAATTTGTGCGTATACGCTAGGATCATATGCAATTTGTTGCTGCTGATCCTCATAAGGTCCCTTTCCTAACAACATATCTAGATTTCTCTGAGGATAACCAGCTGCTGCATTTTGCCTAGCCAACTCCTTGCAAAATTCCTCATTGGCAACCTTCCATAACAGGTATTGTCCTCCATTTAGCACAGCTTTACACATATTAGCCCAATCTGCTGGCGTCATGTTCAAGTTGTTAATGGATTTGACCAAGCTTACAGTGAAGGGTGCTTGAGGACCATAGGTTGTTACAGCCTCTTTTAGCTGCTTCACTGTTTTGAAATTTAAAGCATTGTGAATTTGCTGCCCTCCTGCCTCAAATACAGGGCATGTTAATATTTGAGATCCTGTCTCAGGATCCCAACTATCAACTGCAGGGGTTGGGGGCCTCCCAGCATATGGAGGTGGCACTGTTGGTTGAACACTTATGCCCTTTGGTGATAGAAAGGTGTTAGTAGCATTCTCCTGTAGAGGTGGCACTGTTGGTTGGACGCTTATGCCCTCTGGTGATAGAAAGGTGTTAGTAGCAGTCTCCTGTTGTAACTTTTCCCCTGATGGCTTTTTCTGCTCTAAGCTTTCTTCCTCTATCTGAATAGCTCAAAAGACCTTCTCTTTTACTTGAATCTTTTTCTCTTTCTGACTAACTTGAGAGACCTTCTCTTTTACTTGAATCAATATGTCTTCTCCTGCCTCTACCTTTGTGTGAACTGAAGGCTTTGGACTAAGCTAACAAGATACCAATGCCCACAATTTCAATGTGCCAACTGGCAGAGTTCCTGGGCTTTTCTGTTCTATTCTTTTTAAATCTTCACCATGATGTTTCCATTGTGATATATTTAACAACTCCTCCTTAAAAAAGCCATGAGCTACATTTTTGTATTGTATCATACAATCAACGTATGCCCTGACTGCTCTTGATTTTACTGGGATGTCTCCTTCCTCTAACAATTTACTTAACACTCTTTCGGTTTGTTTTTTACTAATTTCTGATCCCATATTTCTACTATAATACAACCCAACAAGATAATGCTTAACAAAACTGAAACAGAGTGAAACAAAATTGGAACAAAAAAAATCATTATAATAGCCTCCTGAAATGTCCATCCATCCTTTCTCCCTATTTGTTCCTCAGATGTGAGCGGTTTTTCTTCCATCTTACACATATCCAGAAACAGACAACTTAAAACAAAAGTGAAATAAAACAAAAGAATAATCTTAAAATGGCTACACATCCTCTTGCCCTGCCCTCAGGGGCGAGCAGTTTACCTTATCACTTACCCTCAGTCGTTCTCTGTGTGGCCCACCAAATGCCGCCATCTGGCTGGGCACAATTCAGGAGCCACTTGTCAAAAGAAACGAACTTTATTTTTAGAACACACACACCAAACCACACAGCTCCTCAGGAAAAACCTTCAGAGACCAACTGCCACCACTGGCTACCCACAAGCCTCTCAACCTCCTCCACTCCTCCTGCTCTTGAGGCTGATTGGCTGGGTAGTGTGGGCAGAGCCAAAAAAGTCCCCCAATGAGCAGCTCTGTGGTCTGAAAGGGCAGGGAAACAGCCCAATGAGCATCACCACAGAGGAGCCAATCAGTTGGCAGCTAGAAGTTTGCTGGGGCCGCTGTGCACCAATCATCAGCTGGAAGTTTGCTGGGGCCCGTTTCAGCTGTGGCTCTCAACACCAATGCTGTAGGCAGGCACCACAACATCTTACTTCAAATTATATTACATTGTTATAGTAACAAAATCTGCATGGTACTGGCATAAAACAGACACATAGACCAATGGTACAAGAAAGAAGACATGGACACTGACTGTAGGTGTGTGGACATCTGTAGTCATCTGGTCATGTGGTCATTGGGGAAAAGACAGCCTTTTCAACAAATGATGCTGAGAAAACTGGTTATCCATATGTTGAAGATTGAAGCTAGAATCACCCTGCATACAAATCAAGTCAAATGAATAAAGATCTATGTATTAGAGCAGAAACTGTGCAAATGCTAGAAGAAAACATAAGATCAACACTCCAGCTATTAGTCACAGGCAATGAGTTTGTTAATAGTACCCCTAAAGCTCAGGAAATAATGTCAAGAGTTAATAAATGGGATGACATCCACTTTAAAATCTTCTATACAATAAGGGAAACAATCAGAATGTGAAGAAAAAACCTACAGAATGGGAGAAAGTTTTGCTCACTACTATTCTGAGAGAGGATTAATATCTAGACTACATAAAGAACTCAAAACCTTTAACACCAAAAAATCAGATAACTCAATGGATAAATGGGCAATGAAACAAACAGATACTTCTCAAAAAATGAAATGGTCAACAAATCTATGAAAAAATATTACTTATTAGGGAAATAAAAATCAAAACTACCCTGAAATTTCATCTTACATAGATCAGAATGGTAATCTTCGAGAATACAAATAATAAATGCTGGAGAGGATGTGGAGAAAAAGTACATTTTACTTTGTTAATGGGATGGTAAATAAGTACAACTAGAATAGAAATCATTATGCTAGTTCCTCAAAAGACTAGGCATGGAACCATCATAATATCCCACTATTCCACTCCACCTTATTTATCTTAAGGAATTAAATTCACCATATTATAGTGATACATGTATACCCATGTTTACAGCAGCACAATTTACAACAGCCAAACTAAGGAACCAGCCGTGGTGTCAAACAACAGGTGCATGAATGAAGCAAATGTGCTATATATACAAAATAGAACTTTATTCAGCCATATAAAATGAAAATATGTCCATTCTAGAAAAGTCGATGGAAGTAGAGACTGTCCTGTAAAGTGAAATAAACCAAATTTATAAGGTCAAAGTTATATGTTTTCTCTAAAACAAAGAAGCTAGAGAGGAAATAAGGGAAACAAGTTAGGGTGATGGGCTGAGGGGATGTAATGGAAAGCAAAGGTGGATCAGTAGAGGAAAAGGACAAGAGGTGGGAGGAGAGGAGGAAGGTAGGAAATGTTGGGGAATGATAATGACCTAGTTATATTGTTATATTTGTGCATGTGCAAATATATAAGAACAAATCCCATCGTTATGTACAACTATAATGCACCAATAAAACAATGAAAAAAAAGGAAGAGGTACCTGGGGTATACTAGAAGGCACTGGGGTCCAGTAAGTAGCCAGAGATTGGGAGATGGGACAGGACTGAGGAGAGGAAGCACAGCAGATTATCCAGTTCCTTTCCCCTTCCTTTCCAGGAGTTTTATACCCTCCATGTGAATCCACCAGGGAGCAGTGAGAATCTGGAGTGGAAAGAGCAGATGCTGTAGTTTACCATGAATAGTAATGTGGTTCAAACAGGTGCTTCCCCTCATTATCTCTAAAGAAGTAGGGTTCCAATCCTAAACACATTCTTTTCCAGAAGACCTATCAATAACAAAAGGTCTCATTATCAAATCCAGCCCCAATTTTTATCCCAAGGCAGAGGACTCAGCAATATCTGAACATACATCCTAACTGAAAGGGCCAGGAGAAGTTCAGCAGATTGAGGAGCATGTTTGGTTCTCCCAGCCATATCTATTCCTGAGAAGGGGAGAGAGTGGACCTATCCACCATCCTGATACTATGTTCTCAGGATATCTGACACAGCACACAGAAGTCCTGGGAATCTTTATGTGACATTCACAGAACTCCACCATTGGAAGGTTAGGGACATCCCAAAGGGGCTCTAATTCCTCAGCACTGTCACAAGCTCAGTCTATCCTGATTGAGAAAATGCAATCAAACAATTTTAATCTCCTCAGCTAAGCTTTTTGACCAGTAAGGCAGAGGTATCCAGAATCCAAGGCATTTAAGTGTTGGGGGAGGAGAGGAAGGTGCTAGAAACAGATTTGCATGGAAGCCCCTCCCCCCTCTGAGTCATGGGAGGCGATAAGAGAGGTCTGTGCAGCCAGGCCCAGTGTTGGGGCTCAGGAGGCAGACACTTTGGGCATCGCCACCATGGCCTGGGCTCTGCTTGTCCTAACCCTCCTCACTCAGGGCACAGGTTATTCCCCAGGGAAGGGACACAGGAACATCTGGGATAATGTATCTTCCCCAGCTCTGGTTCACCAACAATGAAAAAACAGAGTGTGTTTTTCTATCTTTTCAGTTTCCTGGTCCCAGTCTGCTCTGACTCAACCTCCATCAGCCTCTGGGTCTGTAGGACAGTCAGTCACCATCTCCTGCACTGGAACCAGCAATGATATTGAGATTTATAATAATGCCTCCTGGTATCGAAATCTCCCAGGAGCATCTCGCAAAATCCTGATTTATGGAGCCACTAATCGTCCCTCCAGTGTACTCAATCGCTTCTCTGGCTCCCAGTCTGGCAATTGAGCCTCTCTGACTATTTCTAGCCTTCAGGATGAGGATGAGGCTGATTATTATTGCTGCTCATATACAAGCATCAGCAATTTACACAGTGCTCCAAGTTCTTGGGGAAGTGGGTGCAAAATGTGTCTTGAGTCACATGTTCCTATTCACTCAGAAGTTTCTTCTTCAGCCCTGCACAGAGACAGCTTCAGGCCACAGGGCCATGAGAATCCAGTTCTCTCTCAGTTCCTCTTTTGTTCAACCATGAAATGTGAAAGGAAACAAAATTTCCTGTTCATTGTCTAAGGCCAATAATATATATGATATTGTACCTGAATGTGCAACTCTTTTTAAATTCTTACATTAGGGCCAGGACACTATGAAGATGCCCATTTGGTCCAGTGATAGTAGTGTTGAGGGAAATCCTCAAACTTGGTGCCTCCTATTCCCATATTATTTCCATATTATTCCCTGTACAGGTCTGCTTGGAATTACTCAGTCAATATCTCTGCTTTTGCTTCATGAGCACATCTGTTGGTGAAGTAACAACCACTGAGAAATTCTGAGAACATTACTGAGGGAATGAGTACAAACTGAAAGATGCTGTCTTCCTTTAATTCTTACACTTTTGTCATCAAAGTCAAGTGAGGTATACCAGACAGAATTTTAGTTGCAACTGTGTTCTTAGCCAGGATTATCTCTTCCCTCAGACACCTGAACATTTGTCCAGGATAGCCCTGCATCTATCAATAGAATAAGATTTTTTGCCAAAGGAAGGATCCTTTTGTTTAAGAAGGAAGATATGTTGTGTGTATATATCTTTTCTCCCTCTGTGCTTGCCAACAGTTCATGATTACAATGGTGACCCCAAACCAATTTCTACCTAGGATTCCTCTTAAAATGGGTAACTGAGTACACTTATACATGAAAATATAGCCAAGAATTCTTTAAACAAGTGAATAAGCATAGGCTTGGTTCCCAGAAGGTGAGACACAGTAACTGATTCCACCTAGTTTGCAGAACCTAAAGACATCCAAAGCTTGTTCCATTACTTAACACTTGTCTGAGACAACGGACAGGTTTACTTCCCTCCAGTAAGTACTGGAGCAGGAGAAAGTGAAGCAGAAGACAGGTTGGCATTGATTTGGGACACAGGAGAGTAGCACAGACTTTCACTGATATGTTTCCTACTATGGAACTTGGTTGGAGAAAGTGGCCATTAGAGACCTAGTCTGTGGAGTAGATGCTTGCACATTGTCACTCAGACTAATAAGCAAGGCCACATATACCAAATCCAATATGTCCTGATAGACCCTTGCACAGGTGAACAGCTTAGCTCCTCCCTCCTTTCTCTGGTATCCATCACCAGTTATTCCTGATGATCCAAGTGTGGGTTCAGAACATAGAATGGATCAAGATGAACCAAGTCTTCTTTCTTCAAGTACTGGGGCATGCATACGGAACAATGAAATATTTTTAAAAGATAAATTTTAAACTGTGCACTGGAAATAATGAGAAAGACTGATGAGGATAATTCAAAGGATGATCTCATTTAGGAAAGATTTTGGGGCACTTTTCTGGCCACTGATACAGGGAAGGAGCTATGCCTTTGATGATAAAGGCATGCACATCAAGACTCAGATATCATCAGCCTGAGTCATGGACTCAGGAAGGACCCAAGAATCCTTAGAATATAAAAGCCCATAAAGGAAATCTTAAAGTCAGGATCAGAGAGAAGAGGGTGTGGGCAGAGCTAGAGGGCTAAGAAGTGGGAACAGAGGCTTCTGCAGATAAAGACAATAGAGGAGGAATCTGCTTAAATGAACACAGAAACAGGCCAATAAGTTTTCTTCTGTAGGTTTTCCATGAGCAACTAATGCTGTCAAGGTCTCTATAGTTGTCACCCAGAGAATGGAGTGCATCCTGCAAAGTTATAGGTGGATCAGCTGTGAGGTGATCACTGATCTTTGGTCTATCTCACAGGACTTGTTGAATCTGGTGTATGTGGCCTTTGCTTATTAGTCTGTGTGACAATGTGCAAGCTTCTTACATGCAAGACCTGAAAATAGAAGTCCTTTTTGATTAAAATAATAACAAATTACAAATTTCTCCTCTGTGTTTTATATGAGGGGACAGTTTACTTGCTATGACTTGTAGATCAGTACTCCTTTGTTCTTTGATGTCAATCTTCTTTTAATCCCTCTAATAGGTCTCACATCTCTTGCTGTTGCTTTGTGGTTTACTCTATCTCCTGGTTCCTTGCTATAACATTGTCTCTCTCATACATGTATGAAGATGTGAGTTTGGTGTCAACAAACCTAATATATAATCAGATATATGATAAATTATGATATAATGGTATATTAAGAATTATAATGCAAAAATTAAAAAAAAGAAAACATTGTCTCTCTCCACCCATTCCATGTACTTTGACATTATTTCTACTATCATTTTTTAAAGTTTTGTGTAGAGTTTTTGAATATATTCTCAATTATGATACGCTTGTCTCATTTTATCCATACAACATATCTTCATTGTCCTCACATCAGTTGAGACTTTCCTGGGCCTAGTGGTCTCTTGCCTTTTTACAGGATATGTATAATTATATGTTATTGTATGATGAGACTATTTAAAATCCTAAATTGAAATTTTTGTTTTAGCAGACTATATGACCATTTTGACTAAATCAGCTTTCTCTGGAATGTTGTTTTGACATTGCATTCTTCCCTCCCTGGGATCATATTGTTTCAAGGGTTGCTCAGAATTGAGCCTGCGTTGCAGGGGGATTTTTCCCAACTCATTCCTTTCAACAACTTCCAACTGTGCATGGCTCCTCACGCCTTCCCTTCTGGTCTTCTGGCAACAAAACCGGGAATTCAGGTTCCCTGCATTTCTGTGACAAAGGACAAGGCAATACCAAGTGCTAAGAAGATACAGTAACAAAAGTAGTAGAATTAAGTGACACTGTCTTGGGGAATCAGCTCTTCAAATGAAAAAGGAAAGCCCCATGGTTTCCACTGCCTCTTCTGGGACCACAGAAGAATTTCCCAGTGAAGGATCAAGTAGAATGGAGAAGAGAAAATGTGCACATTCCAAAGTTTGTCAGAGCATAAGGAATTCCCTTTCTCCTCTTGTAGACACAAGAGTGGGGCTTATTCTGGAATCTTTCTGTCCATATGTTGGTGTCCTGTTCAGGTCCCAGGAACTTTAAGAGCAGGCCTGGGATTCAATGTGTACATGGAAAACTCTCTGCTATTTGGGTGTTTTTACTGGGCTGATAGCTCCTTCAGTCTGTTTCTGTGATTTGTTTTCCTAGGTGATCACAAATATATTCCATACTGTGTGGGCTTTATGTGCTGTATTCAGTCTGAAAAGATAGTGTGTGCTTAATGCACTCTAAGTGAAATCTGAAAGCAACAATGATATTTTTATGTAGAAAATTAAATAACTCTGAACCAGAGGCTATGCAAAACATAGATAGAAATCACTTTTAAAAGTACTTTCAGAAAATGAATGGAGAACTTGTTTGGAGGTTCTAGCAGGGGAGCGCAGCTACTCGTATACCCTTGACTGAACATCACTCCTCCTCTATCGGAGAAGTTTGTCCTCATCGAGAAAAAAAAAAAAAGAGTGCAAGTATAATGGCATAAATTTGTGTGAACATACTTTATATACAGAGTTACAAAAATTGTTCTGTATATGGGTAATAATGAGTGTAATGCATTCCACTATTGTCATGTATTTAAAAAATAAATAAAAGAAAGAAAAAAAGAAAAGAAAATGAATAGAGAACATTTATTCACACATGTGCGGATTTTTAAATTTTTTAATTTGTTTTAATTATTTCTACATGACAGTAGAATACAATTTTGTAATTTTATATATCATACATACACAGGATATAACTTTTTATTTATCTCAGTGTACATATTATAGAATCATATTGGTCATGCAGTCATCTCTCTCTCTCTCTCTCTCTCTCTATATATATATATATATATATATATATATATATATATATATATGAATTAGTGTGAGCTCATACACACAAACAGTTAAGTTTTGCTGTGTTTAGCAAAACAAGGAGTTCTGTGAGAAAGTATGAACTCTTTGAACTGTGTCCTTGTTGCTATCTTAAGAAGATAGGAGAAAAGAATGTTCTGCCAAGTATAATATATATATATATATATATATATATATATATATATATATATATATATATATATATGTGTGTGTGTGTGTGTGTGTGTGTGTGTGTGTGTGTGTGTGTGTGTGTTTGCCTGGGAATAACTAACCACAAGTTAATTGATAAGAAATATGGAGCACTGTGACCATAAACAAAGTTTTCCTGAGAATGTTTATCTATGCTTGTAAGGATTAATCTGAGAAAAGGATGTTTTTTCTTTCCCCTTGTTTTAATTAACAATGCTGCATAAAAGAAGGAGACAAAAAAGTAAAGATGGTGCTCATTTTCTACTGAATGTGTGTGTGTGTATCTTTCTTAAGCATCTCTGCAGTACCAGGAATTACAGATTGTCAGCGGGTCTGACAGATGGCATCCCTGGGTGGGCAGCAGAGAGTCCCTTACTGGCAAAGGTAAGTGAAGGGGAGAGGTACCATGGGGATCAAAAAATCTCAAAAAGTCAAATACTACAGACAATTATGGCTTTACTTAAGGAACAAAAAATTGTAATTAATAAAAAAACAGCTTCTGCTTTTATGCTTGCTGTTAAAACTACATTTCCTTGTTTTTTTAATTTTTTTTAAAGAGAGAGAGAGAGAGAGAGAGAGAGAGAGAGAGAGAGAGAGAAGTTAATATTTATTTTTTTAGTTTTCGGCAAACACAACATCTTTGTTTGTATGTGGTGCTGAGTATCGAACCCGGGCCTCATGCATGCCAGGCCAGCGTGCTACTGCTTGAGCCACATCCCCAGCCCCATTTCCTTGGTTTTTGTACTCAAGAAATTTAATGGTTCCTAATGAAAAACATATAAAAATTTACAAAAATATTTTAAAAAAAGAGT